TTCTTTTTTATGCTGTGTATCTCCTCTTTCAGGTCGTGCAAGAACTTTCTCTCCTCCTGGAACTCGATGCCTCTTTTCTCCTGCATCTTCTGGAGCTCATTGTCTCTCTTCTCTTGCATCTCTGTTAGCTTTGTCACTATGAATATTTTAAATTCTTTATCTGACATTTCCATGAGTTCCTTGTATTCTCTGTGGAGGAAGAGGAGTTATTCCTTTCCCTTAGAGGAAAGATATTTTCTTGGTTTCTCATATTTCTTGTGCCTCTGCGGTGGTTTCTGATCATCTGATGGATTCTGTCTTTTCCTAGTTTTTGGAGTTAAATTTGAGCATTCAGAGGAATACAGAAGGAGGCGACCTGCAGTCTGTAGACAGTACCATTTTTCTCCTTTGCACAACTGAGTCAGTGAAAATTGAGGATTAATCTGACCCTAAAAGTATTCCGATGTTTGGCCAATGAGCACCTAGACCTGTCTAGAAAATCAGTGTATGGAAGCTGAGCAGGAAGGTGAGAAAGGTGAAAAGAAAAGAAAAAGGAATAGGAAAAAAAGAAAAAAAAAAAAGACAAAAACAATAAGAAAAAGAGAGGAAACTTTTTTTGTCAAAAAATTAAAACCACACATCTCGCTCCACTCAGAAGTCAAGTATAGATGGCTGCTGATTGGCTTACCCTATGGGGGCAGCCAGGAAGGTAAGAATTAGGAAGACAAAAGAGCAGCAGAGAGCTAAGTTTAAAAATTTTTTAAAGAATTTTTTTAATTATAGAGAGATGGAGAGAGCCAGAGAGAATAAGTGGAGTGCTCTCACCTGACTACTGGTGAAGTCTGGGCAGAGGGCCTTCAGTGGTCGAAATCCAAAGAAAAAGTAACTTTAAAAGAATAAAATGCGCTGTATAGAGAAGCATCACAGAGGAAGCCCCTTGAGGCTCGCGAGCATTGGATGTTCAGTCCTTAGTGTCCGTCTCCTCCGTGTCGTTTCTGCAGCGGTTCGAGCACTCGGCCAAGCTGCGGCGGAAGATCACCACGTACGTGTCCTTCCCCCTGGAGCTGGACATGACCCCCTTCATGGCCTCCAGGTATGAGGGTTTTTGCATCTCTGTCTGCATGAGCACCTCTACTCATGGGGCCGTAATCCAGCCCACGTATCCGTCATGAGCCGTTGTGGACTTTCATAATTAACCCATGTTTGCGTCTGACCGCAGCTTTTCACAACCCTGATTATTTATCCTGGTCTGAGCCCAGGACACATGATAATGATTGGTTCCCCTCAGATAGGCTGTTTTGTGTTGAATTATTTTCCTACAGCTCTCTCCCCCCACACCCTTGGAATGTCATCAGGAGGGCCACAGCGAGACGGTCGGGTGTCGGGGTGGATGCTGACGTGCAGAAGAGCATGACGGGTTTAAAGCTGTAGATTGCGTTTTCCTTATTCTCAAACCTTTGTACCTTAGACCACCTAAAACGTAACCCTCCCGAAAAGCACAGCGCCCACTCTAGTATGTACTGGACACTTGGTCATTTGCTGTAGCTGCTGTAACAACCACAAAACGGGTGTCTGAAAACACATCTGCTTTGTCACAGTTGTAGAAGCTTGAAGTCTGGAATCAAGGTGTGGGCAGGGCCCCGTTTCTTTTGAAGTACCCAGGGGTTGATCCGTTCCCTGCCTCTTTCTGCTCTGGTGCCTCCAGGTGGTCCTTTGTGGCTGGACGCCCCTGGCCCCCTGTCACTGGCCTCCTCAGGGCCTAATCTCTGCTTGTCTCATGAAGACACTGGTCTTTGGATTTGCGGTCTATCGGATCATCCCAGAATGATCTTATCACAACATCTCAAAATAACAACTCCACTCAGTTGCCTCTGTAAAGCCATTTCCTATAAATAACGCCCCTTTCCCAGGTTCTGAGGATTGAGACGTAGACATGGTCCAACCCTGTACACCATCTAACACATGTGCCTTTTAGAAAGTTAAAAATTTTTTTTAAGTTTTTGCGGTAGGGACGTGTCTTTGCCAGAGAGGAGAGAGACAGAAAATGGGAAGTTACCACCCCGGGGCTGGCCACGCCACAGTCCCTTCTCCACCATTGTCCTCCTGGAATTTTGGGCACACACGCATACGTGGCTGGGGTGAATTTTGCGCCGCCAGCTCGGGGACTTGAATTGCAGTCAGCCTGGAAGGAGTCCAGCACCTTAACTACCACTGCACCTGCCGGACCCTGCACGTCGCTTTTGTAGTCATCAGCATCTTCGAGTGTCGGCTGTCATGGTGGTCCTGCCCCTGCCTTAATAAGGGACTGTCTCAAATGAGCCAAAGCCGTCAGAATTACAGCTCTGGGGAGACTTCAAAAGGTTGTGGACAAATGGAATTAAAATATGTATTTAATTTTGTGCAAACCATTTTGAAATCCTTGAGTAGTTTTTCATAACATGTTTTCCATCAACTTTTTGAAGAATCCCTCCTCCCCCCACCCCATATACCCATGTTCGGGGAAGTGTCAGGGTCTCCAGGCCTCAGTTTATCAGCAGCAGGCACATATGTGACCCCACGCCAGGAACCTTTGTGCCTGATGCCCCTCCTGTGCGGGTGGGCTGTGGTGAAATGAACAAACGTAATCCCTTTGGGTGTAGGGGGTCAGGTTTGTTTATTTCTTCCATGAGAAACAGACCTCTCAACCGGGTCACCCATGCTGTGTCTCCAGCCCCTGCCAGAGGGTCCGAGCCCACGCCTCCCACGTGGCTGCAGCGTTGTGCAGGGGTGCCGCTTTGACAGGAAGAGTACTTTTTCATCCGGTCTGTTAGAAACAAAAGCATTTGACTCTCATCCAGCCCCCACCCAGGCACAAAGCCCATTTAGAAGCACACGCCCTGGGGTTCCATCTGAAACCCACTGGGAAAGGTGGCTGTGTTACTACTTCGTTTTGTTTTGGGTTTATGCCACAGGGCACTTGCACTGGCTATGGAGAGAAGGAAAGTGAGAAGTCATCCCCAGGAGGATGGCCAAGCTGTGGTCGTTTTTCCAGTCTCCTCTTGGAATTTTGGGCATGCACGCAAAATCACACCAGGCGTGATTTTTCAAGCCACCGAGTCAGTCCGTGGCTCACACTGTGGTCAGCCATGTGGGAATCCAGCACATTAACCACTGTCCCTCCTGCTGGCTCCTGTTTTTGTTTTTTTTTTTTTTTAAACTTGCTAGAGGGTGCACGTGCTCACTGGAGGGAGAGAAAATGAAAAAGCACCCACCGGGGGGCACGTCCACACAGCCGTGCCTTCTCCTTTCTCTTCTCAGGGTTCTGGGCATACTTCACGCCCAGCATGTTTTTGGAGCTGACGTATTCAGGATCTGAACCGTGCAGTCGGCCACGTGGGATCTAGCCACCTTAAACGCCTTCTACCTGCCGGCCCCCTGGAAGGCAGCTTTGAAGTCCTCTTGTAGAGCTATAGTTTTGGTAGTCTTGGTTTATTTGAGACAGTCACCTGTGCACACCGAACCAGGACCACCATGAGAGGTGAGGCCAGGTAGCTCCCGAGGTGCTCTGAGGTGCCTGACTGCCAGTGAGCTCCGTTTCCTCGCAGCAGTGTGGGGGTGGCTTTTACCTGTGACCGAGTTGTGGGGAAAGTGGGAACACATGGAAGGTCGGCACAGTCAGCAGGA